AGAACTAGAATTCATACCCACCAATCAGAAAACAGAACTAGAATTCATACCCACCAATCAGAAAACAGAACTAGAATTCATACCCACCAATCAGAAAACAGAACTAGAATTCATACCCACCAATCAGAAAACAGAACTGGATCAGAGACAGAAGCTTGAGGTTTTCGGAAATGGATGAGATCTTTTTGGTGCACCTTTAACACCAAGGTCAGACAGTGCCAGGAAGCACAATAGAGGCTGAGGATGTAAAGGAAGGAAGCCAAGGCTAGATTTTGAGGAGCTCTGCCACATACAGACATTAGAACTTGTTTTGTAATGGCTCTCTGGAACAATCGCTAACCAGCAACTGGCATCTGCAGACTGCTGTGGAGTGGGAGGGCTGGGTGGTGCCAATGTAGGCAATGGGGGAGTGCTGGGTGGAAAGACGCTAGGAGGCAGCTGCAACTTTGGAAACACCCAGGAAAGAACGGCAAGATGACAAACTCACAAAAACTCCAACACCAGACATGAGAAGCACTCTTCTGAGTTGTTAACAAGGTCTACCCAAGAGACTCCCCAAATATCCAGCCAATTGCTGCTGTCCCTGGTTACCTACCCCTAGAATTGAAAGGAAAGTCACTATTGTGAAGATATCATGCATTTCAGAAACAGGACCCAGGATCCCCTGAGATGGAATTGATTTGAAAGCTCCCTCCCTGAGGACTAGCTTACATGGTGCCAGAAGGTCCCACGCAAGCTTCAGAAGCAGGGAAACAACCAACCTATACAGTCCTACCCAGCTATGATGCCTATAAATCACATCAACAACCAGCATGGCGCAACAACTCTAATGGTGCAGTAGTGGCATGCCTACCTTGGAGGTAACCAACAGCCCTCTGACTGGACTCAAGACCGACTTAATGAGAGGGAAACCATGCTCATACTGAGAACCTAGCTAACTATTTAGTGTTAGTGAAGTACTGGTTGTTGGAGAAGAATTTAAAACCACTAATTTCCTAACCAATATCATCCCTAACAATGATCTATAAACATTTGTTGTTAGACCCGCAGATAGAACAGTCTTCAACCCTCATCAAAGTAACTTCTCTTTGCAGGACACAGAGACCACTCTGGAAAGCCACAGCCAATCAGAATGCAGATTTGAAGCCCAATCCTAATGGATATATATATATATATATATATATATATATATATATATATATGCAAAACACCCCTGCACCTAAAGCTCAGAAAACATGGAAGAGTCAGTGGGAAAATTGTCAGAGCCAGAGGATCAGGGAGTTTGCTGTGAGACTGTATCTCTTAGTAGTATCAGAAACTACACTTATAAAGTCTCACCCCCAAGTGTGACCTGAGTGAGGATGACCCCAGTGGACACACCAAACTGAATGAAGAAAAACCCATGAGGTCTCAATACTACACAGAAGTACAGGCAACTGAGGAAAGCTGGGGACACGAGAGGTGATTTGCCTTCCCCAGGGAGGAGCGTGCCAGCTGCAGGTCCAGTGCCAAATGGTCAGCCCTAAGAACATACATATGGGTAGCTTTATATGGACTTAAAAGGTTATGTCTAGGTACGTTTTACATATATACATACATACATATGTATGTATGTATACACATATATGTGTGTGTGTATATATATATGCATAAACAATTAGTAAAAAGAGAGAGATCATGAATTTGAAGGAGAGTAGGGAGAGCTAAATAGGAGGGTTTGGAGGGAGGTAAGGGAATGAAGAATGTAACTGAGTTGCATAGAAGGGGGGTTTATTAGTGAGTGAATCCTTAGAAATGGCTGAGGAGTACGAGAACTCAGCTTGGGCAAGCAATTACATCATTGTGTCTCTGGCAAAGACAGAAAGAATTTATCCCATTATTCCATCTCCTCAGATCCAAACCAACCCCTTAGATGCAACCCAGAAACCCTTTCTTGGTCAGTCTTTGTAGTCTCCTCTCTTTAGAGAGCATCCCCCTTTGTAAAATAGTCATCGATTCATTCATCAGGGGACACTTTACTCCCCAAGCACGAGGTTAGCCTTCCACATGGGTCAGGTCTGTTTTCTATGCAGGCCTGTAGGGCTTCACGGGACTCACATCTCTGATATTCATCTCACTCACTGTCTCAGAGATGAGAATTTGCTGAGTCCGCAAGTCTGTAGGGTCTGGTGCAGTAGTTGCAAAGGAAGACTTTTATTTACTTATGTTTGTTTTGTCTGCACATATATCTGTGTGGTACATGTGTCTGTGGAGCCCCCCCCACCCCCCAAAAAAAGAGTAGCAGAAGCCCTGGAAGAGGAGTTATAAATACAGATGGTTGTCAGTCACTGTATGGGTGCTGGGAAGCAAACTCAGGTTCTCCGGAAGAGTTTTTACTACTCAGTCAGTCACTTGGCTTCTGGACCCTCTGATTCTTTCTAGTCTAAGAAGAAATCCCAAGAAACTGCTTGGTATCCTGAGCCTCATAAGACACTGTTTGTAAAACTGGGGGCCAGACATGGTGTTAGAGTTCCATGGACATGTATTTGAACTTCCTCACTAGGTTATAGCTGTTTTTGGTAATGATAACAAGGTAATTGCTAATTGATCAAGTGTTATGGGGTTGGCACTTTATCATGGTAATCAATGTATTCTCCCCCAGAGTAAGAAACACCAGAGTTTGGGTAAAGTTAGGGGTACGCTTGAGACCAGGAAGAGGACTCATCTTGCTGTTCCATCTACTCTGCGTAGGCGCGATCACCTGCCTTTTCAGGAGGTCTATCAATATTTAATGTGTGGGTGTCAGTTGCTGTAATTGAGCGTTCTTCAGAACCAACTTGAATTAATCATATGCAGAAGGAGAGAAAATAAGATGCCCTTTTCTCAGAGCCTGGTTCCACTGGCTGCTTGGAAGCCTAGAAACCGCAGTGAGACCTTCCTGCTGATGGAGGACCCGGAAAAGAAACTGAACCAGAAGAGCGACGACAAACCCAGAAAAGTACGATTTAAGATCTCCTCTTCCTACAGCGGCCGAGTGTTGAAGCAGGTTTTTGAGGACGGGCAGGAATTAGAGTCACCCAAAGAGGAATACCCTCACAGTTTTCTCCAGGAGGCTCTTGAACCAATGGATGGCGTCTACGGGTCAGGGGAAGCCCCCAAGCCTCAGCTGTATTCCCCTAAGCTGACTGCTCAAAGGATCAGCGTGTTTAGAGACAGCAGTGCCTACTCTCTGGCGGGCAGCCAGCCTCTGTTCAATGACTACAAGGCGAATGACCATAAGGTTGGTATTATGTGAGGTTATGGACTTTTAGGGTAGGCTCCTTGCAATATGTCTAGCAAAATGCCCAGGTGCTTCAAGATAACCATCTCTCTCAAGTTCAGCTACCGGTCAGAGCTGTAGGTGCATCAAATGGGGAGCCGTTATTAGAATAATATTTCTTGGACAAAAATAACACGCGGGTTGACTACTCATTGGAAAGTGTGACGAGCATAGGCAGCGTTCAAATTCCACCCAGGGTAATACACTGTAATTGGGTCTTTGGCTGAGTTTCCTTCGTGTGTAAATTAGATAGAGGTGCAGTGGTTTTCGGGTTGCCAGCCTGCCGTTTCGGAGAATTATGCAGCAGTAGGTCATTCCGTTTCCTGAAAGAATTGAATATTTGAAGGTACCCATTTTGCTCCAGCCAATTACTCTGCTGTATTTTATCCATGTCTTGTTTTTTTTTTTTCTCCTTATCACCTTCCTACTGCCTGCTTTTTAAAATTGTCGGTATATTTATTTAGTTTTGCCATCCCAGTGCTCATTAATACGAACACTAGGTAGCTGGAATCCTGGGAAGAAATAGTGAAAAGGAAATCAAACAGAGGAAATGTTTCTCGAGGAAGAAGTTTGAACTAATAGTTCAATGACGCACGCTCTTCCTGCAGGTTTTCTAAGCTTCTCTGGAATGAGGGATAATCAGAAGCCCCTGAGGGACTCTATTTTAAGCTAAGACAACATGGAAAATACTCAGTAATTTCCAGTCTCTTAGGAGATGGGTTTGTGCTCACGGTAGTGGAAGTATGAATGCTGTTTCTCTTAAAGAGCACCTCTGTGTAATGTATGTAAGTTCCTAATGATAACTATATCATGATTTGTTCTCATCTTGGGAGTTTTTTTTCAGATAATTATTTTTAATCATTTTTATTGTTCATTTCCTAAGGAAATAGGTATTGCAGGCAAATGTTTTGGACTTGTTGATATTGGCAAAAAGATAATTGTGATATCTACAGATACCAAAACCAATAGCAGGTTTCATTTTAGTATGAAGGGGTTGAGAATGAAAATCCCTCATGTTAGTAGAATGTTTTATGCGTTATAAAGTGCTGCCATGAATTGTCTTCTATGTCCATCATAGTCTTATCTTTAGCTCATTCTCAAGGAAAAAGGCAAGGTATGGTCATTTCTATTTCGTGAAGGAAGAAAGTTATGTACCAAGTTGATTAAAGGCCACACATCACTGTAGGAACCTAAGCTGTTGAGTCAGAATAGGGATATTGATTCCCTGATTTTCCATACTTTAATCTCTATATCGTGTTCCTTTTTAACAAACAAGATCATTACGTAGTAATGATGGCGGTGATGGTGCTCCTGATAGTGCTATTTATTTGTGTCCTAGGCACTTAGCTATGTTTTCTGCTTATAATAGTCCTTTGTAACTGTTTCTTATTTGGAAGCTGAGATTTAAAAAAGGCCTAGGTCATCAAAGCCATGATAGATAATTTAAACTACTTTATAACTCATATGCCAACTTCGGCACATGTAAGAATGGTTTGACATAGATTTGTAAAACTGGATTAAAACACAGATATTCCAGAGGTCATGTTGAAAGTTCAGTTCCTGTTGGGGCTCATTATTTCTTGCTTTCTCTGTGTTTCCACCAATGACCCCATCCCGTTGTCATCAAGTTCTAAGTGTGGCAGGGACTGTGACGGATCTGTGCAGTCCACCACCTACTGAAACAGTTCACGATTGTGTTCATGAAAAGCAAGGAGACAATATCTGGAGCTTCATGACTTCCCAACAGTGGATGGAGCTGAACATTGACTCCTCATAAATGCTGCCTATGACAGCATGATGGGTTGCAGTTAAGTGCAGTGATTCACTTAAGCATGTGGAACTCAAACAGGTATTGGTGCACCACTATTCACAGAAATTCACCATTAATTAAAGGCGGAAACAACTTAAATGTTCATCAGTTGATGAATGGCTACACAAGAAGTGGTATGTACACATAATGGAATATTTCAACACCTTAGGAAATTTTGATATGCTTCAACATGGATGAAGCTTGAACACATTAGGCTAAATGAAATAAGCCATGCACAACAGGGAGACCTGTACCATTGCAGCGGCATGATGTACTGATGGTACAAATCAATGGAGACAGAAAGTGGATGGTTGTTGTCAGGCTAGGGGTAGAAAAGAAGATGTTACTGTTTATGGATTCAGCATTTCAGTTTGGGAAGATAAAGCTCTGAAGATAAATGTTGTACAACAATGGAAATTTTAGGGAACTCTGCACCAATAAATGGTTAGAATAGTAAGCTGTCCGGTATGTGTATTGTAATGATAAAAACAAAACATGGGCTCTGATGTCTGTGTGAGTTTGGATAAAGTCACTTTCTTGAGCCCCAACGTCATCATCTTGGCCTGAGAATAACAAAAGTGTCTTCCTCAGGAGGGCCATTAAGAGGATTAAAATAGATAATTCCTGCAAAGTGCCTGGCACCGATATATGTTTAGCAAACGGTACCTATTATTGTAGCGATGAACAAGTTCTTAAGGAAATGTTGAGTCTACCGTTTATTTTATGTGATGGGTAGAAAAGGTGGTGATAGGTAATAAAAACACGTTAAGGAATTAAAACTCACTGAAATGTGTAGGGTTTGTGAAATTATGGACAGGGAAAAGAAGGAGGCGACATTTACTGAACAAATACTTGTGTATTAAATGGTCTTATAATATTTCAATGAGAAAGAAAATTTCAAATTGGGCAAACAGACTGTTACAGGGTTTACAGATTAAAATAACCTGTCCATCTAACCTAGTTGTCAAATAACATTTGGATAAAATTTGAATTGGGTTTCCATGACCCCAAAGCCCATTAAATATCCAGTATCTAACAACGCTTCTCTGTATTCATTAGGGTCTGGATGACTGTTTATAGGCACGTGGCTACAGAAACCGAATGTGTTCAGATACTTTCCTACATACACTGCCATTCTAGACTGTGTGCAAAAAGCTAAAAGATTCTTGGCTCCAGCTGACCCTCTATCCTACAAGAGTGGATCTTCCTTACAGGCAACTAGATGTAACCAGACCTTGTAAACTACAGTTACACTCAGAGAGTTTTGCTCTGGCTAGCAAGAGGACTGAAATTAAACACACATTCAGAATGATTGGGGCTCTTCATCTTCGGAGTGAAAGTATTTGCTCTCTTAGATGTTGACTGGTTTGGGGGCAGGGGTTGAAGCAGACGGCCGTCCATCTCTTGAGCATAGTGAGAGTTTAGTCTTCAAGAGAAGAAACTGAAAGAAAAGAGTCCTGGGTCTGAGGAAACTTCCTGGTAACTGAACCTTTTCGCTATTACAGGAAGTAGAAACAGAACCTTCCAAAAGTACCACCACCCTTATCTCCCCATGTCAGGAACCGATAGTCTAGAGTGTGAAACGGGAATCCAGTGTGCATAAAACAAAAGGAAATGGAATCGGATCCTCTGAAGAGGGAGAAAAGAAGGCCAGACAGGAAGCCTGTGGCTTAAGTAATCATTGAAAAACTCCATGGCTGTTTACTGGAGTCTGAATGTTGACATCTTGTTCTTGTTAGATTCCAACTGAATACCTAAATATGAGAGCGTTTAACTCTGGCATCATCTAAGCAGGCTGGGTTTATACAATTCTAGAACCAGGAAAAATATTTCATGCTGCGGTGTTTGGCTGTACAGCGTGAGTGTGCATACACTATTGAAAAATAGTTTTTAATAACAGCAGCAATGACGCCCACACTTGCACAGTATCAACAGCTTTTGCCAACCCCACTTTTCTGTATCTTTCATATCAGCTTCCATCCTCAGAAGATGATATCATCCTTAGTTACTAGAGTGAAAATATGTAGCCAGTTGGGGAAGGGCCCTGGAGCTTGGTGTCTTAGGCATCAAACCCCTTTCTTGAGGAGGTGTTTGAGACAGAGTCTCTCTGTGCGGCCTTGGCTGTCCTAGAACTTGCTCCGTAGACCAGGCTATCACGAACTCACAGAGATCAGCCTGCCTCTGCCTCCAGAGTGCTGGGATTAGAGGCGTGCACCACCGTGCCCAGCTAGCATGAACCCTTATATTGCTGAACTTGACGATGTTGGAAATTCCTAGCAGGGAGACTTTATAAGAGGTGACAGAACCCAAGAGTTTCGGCACATCTGTGGAAGTACTCTAGCATTTAAGCAACTAGCTACCAGCTGGATGTCAAGGCACATGCAGATGACCAAAATGGAGTGTATCAGAGTTCACTGCTGCACTGTGTCTTGTAACTAATGGACACCAGAACTGGAATCCAAGGCTGTTTCCCTCCCAGCTGTGCAACTGAGCAAAGCTTGTGTGTTCCTGGTCAAGTGGCCCCTGAGCAGCTACTCTTCCTTTGTCTTTCCCTCTCTTGTTCCTTCTCCTCCTCCTCTTCTTTCTCCTCTTATTCCTCTCCCCTTTCTTCTCCTTCTCCTTCCTCCTCTGAGTCTTGAACATTCTGAGCCCTAGGCCTCACATGCTAGGCAAGCTCTCTGCCATCGAGCTACAGTCTTACAAGCCTGTCCTCCATCCAGCTTCTTCAGTGCACTATAGTATTGTCTTTTTTATGAGCAAAACATTAGGTAACACATGGTAAACCCATAGAAAGAGATATTAACTATTAACAATGATTGTTTAGAAGTATATTGATACAAGTATTCCATGTTAGTTGAATAACAAAAATGGATTATGACAGGGTATATTCACTGATATATCTTTTGTAATTATATATATATATATTTGATATATGATATATAGAGATATATTTGGGGAGAAAGGAATGCTTGTGAATTGTGCATATAGGTGTTAAGAGTATGTAAGAATATGGGAGTTTGGAAAACTCTGTTAAATTTCAGCACTTGTGAGCCGATGCACATGGATCTCGACGAGTTTGAGGCCAACCTGGTTTATATAGTGAGTTTCCAGCACCAAGGCTACACAGTGAGACCCTGTCTAAAGAAAGAAGGAAGGGAAGAGAGAAAGGAAGAAAGGAAACAGAGAATGTAGGCTTTAGTGTAGCAAATGGAGTGGCAGGCTCTGTTCCCGCCCAGATCCCAGCTAGCTTACACCCAAAATAATTGCACGGAAACTGTATTCATTTAAACACTGCCTGGCCCATTATCTGTAGCCTCTTATTGGCTAATTCTCACATCTTGATTAACCCAAATCTAATAATCTGTAAACCACCACGAGGTCGTGGCTTACCGGAATGAGTCTAGCCAGCGTCCGTCTCGGGAAGGGGAATCATGGCATCTGCCTCATTGCCTTCTTCCCAGCATTCTATTCTGTCTACTCCACCCACCTATGTTCTGACCTATCAGGCCAAGCAGTTTCTTTATTAACCAATGAGAGTAACACATAGATAGAAGACTCTCCTATATCACTTTAGGGACTGGAGAGTTGTCTCACTGTTTCAGAGCACTTGCTGCTCCTGCAGAGGCACCACGTTCAGTTCCCAGCACCCACATGGTGCACACAAGCATCTCTAACTCCAGTTCTAAGATATCCAGCATCCTCATCTGACCTCTGCAGACACCAAACATCTATGAGGTGCACATATATATGTAAGCAAAACACTCATACACAGAAAGTAAAAAGAATGAATCTAAAACTTCAAGAAAGGTATTAGGTTTGAATTCCAGTCACAGTTTCCAAATCACACCATCACCTTAGTGAGGTACTTGACCCCACTGAGACTTAGTCCTCACCTGCAGAGAGTGGAAATCATACCATATCCTTCACAGGGATGTTTAGTAGGGAAGTGCTGTCAGTAAAATGCTTAGCATGATTCCCGACACACAGTGCTCAGCAAGTGCTATGAGATAATATTATTTATGCATAGACAAATATTTAAATAAGTTGAAAGAGTCCCTTTGCATGTGCCCAGCTCTGACTGGTTGCTCTGAGGAACAGTGGGAACAAATGCTCTGGACCCTGATCTGTACAGTCCTGCCCTCTGTGTGGTCCAGCCTTCCTCGGTTCCCATCCTCAGCTAGAAGGAAAGGGACTCTTCTTACTTTTAGAAAGAATAAACAAACCTTGGAAAGAAGCCTTGGGGTGGGATGAGTCACAGTTTGGGTGGGTGCAAAACCACTTTTTCCGGCTTTTTGGGAAGGGCACTGGGCAGCTTCTGCCACCCTGAGTTTGGTGACTGCTGACACCCACTCTCTGTTTCTCTAGCCTCCACCGATTATAGATTTTGGGAAGATAATCATCTACACGAACAACCTGAAAATCATCCGGACCCCGATGGACAAAAGGGACTTCATGAGGAGAATCCTCCAGAAGGAAGCAGTTGCTGAGGAGGAGGCTCTGATGGGCACAGGGGAAAACGATGGTGACGGGGAGCAAAATGACAGTCCCCTGCCGGAGACGGAAGGCACATTTCTCCATAATCAGCACACACAGGTGTGTCAGCGCCACTGTTTCCCCCAGGCTGGCCCTGCGGCACTGGCCTGCACCTTGTTCTGCTCCTGCAATACCTCCCGAGACATTTGTGAATAACAACACTTACAATATTTGCTAAAGTGTGAAAGAATTTTAACACCTATTGGCTTATAATGGCAGGGCATATTATTACTATAGATCCACGCTTATTTTATTATATATAATCTATTATTATGTTCATGACTAGACATTCACATTTTAAATATTTATAATCTTTAATTTTTTGGATGACTCCTTTTGGCATCTGATTAGGGAATCCATTGCTTTTCCTGTGAGTTGTGTCTTATGAACCATGGGTTTTAGAGATGGGGACAAATCAGCTCTGTTCTATTTTATTTATTGATTTTTCTGAGACAGAGTCTACAGCTCAAGCTGTTCTCAAACTCTCAACATAGCTGAGGATGATTTTGAACTTCTGATCCTTCTGCCTCTAATCCGGAGTGCTGACATCAATGGTGGATGTGCTGCTACGCGAGGCTCACATAGTGCTGGGCATTGAACCCAGTGCTTCCTGCAAGCTAGGCAAGCACTCTACCAATTGACCTACATCCCCAGCCCCAGTTCTGCCCTTTTCTTATGAGTTCACTTGTGCCTCTGCTATTGGTCCAAAACTCAGTCTGCAATCAGTGAAGATCTGGAAAGTCTCGAGTCAGTTTGAAGGTTGGATGTTGGAGAAGGGCCACGAGTTAGTTTCAGGCTGCTTAGCCCCAAAATAATCATACAAAAACTGTATTAATTAAATCACTGCTTGGCCAATTAGCTCTAGCTTCTTATTGGCCAATTCTTACATTAATTTAACCCATTTCTATTAATCTATGTATTGGCTGTGACTTACTGGGTAAAGTTCACAGTGTTTATTTCCAGTGGCTCCACGGCTTCTCTCTGACTCCACCCTTCTTTCTCCCAGCATTCAGCTTAGTTTTTCCCTGCCTAGCTAAATTCTGTCCTGTTATAGGTCCAAAACAGTTTCTTTATTCATTAATCAATAAAAGCAACACATAGACAGAAGGACCTCCCACACCAGTTGGGTGAGTTGAAACTGATACCATTTGTAAACCCACAAGCCCAGGCACCTGTGGACTACAATATACTGATTTTTTGTAGTCTACTGAGAGTGAACAATTGAACCATATGTTGCTGTCAGCACTGACCGCCACACTCCATGGTCCCTTGTACGCAAGTTAGTTTCTGTGGAACTCACTCTAATATCCCATGAGGTAGACTGGAAAATGGAAGAAAGGCTTCGTGGACCTGAATGATGTCCCTGCGTTGAGAGGACTGAGGTGAAGAGAATGAGGAAGTCATAGCCATCTCTGAGCCATGACTTTAGGCCAAGGTGCCAAGTATCTCCACTCTCATTTCTCTATCTTACATGACAATCTAGCTCTCCACCTTCTCTCTTAAAATCTATCTTCTCTCTTTCTCTCCTGGCCCACCCACTCCACCAGAACATAAGCCTCTTTCTTGGACTTCAAAAAAAGGCTCCTGAAGTTTGGCTCACATCCACCCTTTGAACTGATTTCACACCCAATGTGGCACTTTTGAAATGAGACTCTTTGTTTCTGCCAGTTCCTTCCTAGCCCTTCTACCCCTCAGAGCTTTCGATGATGCTTCATTGCTTGGGATAAGACCAAATCTCTTTATGTGTTTTAGAAAGCCCCGGGTTGCCTGGCTGGTGTTAGTGTCTCTGGTTTTATCTGGTACACATCTCTTGTGTCCTTGCTTCCTCTCCTCCCTCTACTGCCCGTCTGTCCATCTGTCCATCTCTCATAGGTTCTTTCCACGCTCTTGTCAGAGGCAGATCCCCTGTCCTCATGCAGTGGCCCCCAGGTCTTCTGTTCTCTTCCTTTTAGCTCCTGATACCTCAGGGGAGGTTCCATCTCTCAGAGGGCTCTCGACAGCTCCCGTGAGGATGACACACTCAGAATCAACCCATCAGGACTTGGCACGCCTCCTCAACTTTACTTTCATGTTTGTGATTCTGTGGTTAAGGTTTGCTCATACCTACCAGGATTTGATCTCCACGAAGTCAGAAGCTGTGTTCATGGTAGATGCAATATTGCAGTTCCCAGGTTAAAAAAAATAACAACAACAAAAACCAAAACCTGGCACATAATTGATGTTCAGTCAGTGTTACCTGTGGTGGGAAACATAATGGAATTTGGAACCAAGCGTCAGCTGAAAAGAAACATGCCACTGTTGCTTCTCTTGTCTTCTAAGAAGTCTGTAGAACCCAGCATGGTGGCAGGTGACATTGTAAACATCACCTTTCTTCTGTATAAATCTTTAGTTCCATTATTTCTCTTATTGTGTTGTAAATTGGGGGGACACCCCTCCCACCCCACACAGTAAGAAATAGGCAGGTGCAGGTCACTTCATAGTCCTGAAAGAAAAGGCAATGGCGGCAGGTTCCAGGTGACAATTACCTTTCAATTCAGTTTCAAGGAATCCAGATTTTTTTTTTTCTGTAGTGCTGTAAGCAGGGGCAGAGTTGTGTGGCAGAAGGTTTCCAGGAAAGGTTACACTTCCCTTGTCTGTTCTTTAAACTCTGGTTTAAATTACTATTTGTTTGTTCGATCCCTTGTGCAATGAATGCCCAGACAAGTTTTATTCTAAAAGAAAGGGTCAAAGAACATCAAGGAAACCCTTCTGGCTAAGGGGTACTTTGCTCTGCTGTTTGTAACTGGGAAGAGAGAGCCCGATGAAACAGTAGGGCAAGGCAGAAAGCCGGGCCACCTTGAACCTCTATCAACTCTAAAGCAAAGGAGAAGAATAATGGAATTGAGCCACAGAGACATTTGCAAGGAGAGGATTCAGGCTCTGTGCTTGATGAGACTGTCCCTGTAAACCTCTGGGCATTTTAATGCTTCATGAGGCGCTCTCATCTTTGAGGTAGAAAGATAAGATAATACCAACAGTAATAGCTACTGATTTCTGAGGGCCCACAAGAGACAGCTACCTTTCTTGCGTTTGTCCATGCAATAGTTCATTTCCTTCTCGTGAAGACTCCTTGGAGAATGTCTTTTCTTCCACTAGGGAAGCTGAGACTCAGAGAGGTCAAGTAACTCACTAGAGGTCACCAGAGACAGCAGTCAAATCAGGTCCATACCGATGTTATGATCACAACCACTGCCGACTCTGGCTTTGTGCTGATCCCTGTCTGCAGAGCTGTGCATGCCTGCATGGCTGAAGGAAGCAACAGAAGCACACTTTTCTTGGTCCGAGAGTGACATAGAGTGACCAGAGAAGAAAGTAGACTGAGAGGATCTGTTTAGGTCTTGAGCCTAAACTATGCCATGCAGCTGTATTTTATCCCTGGTGCTAAATATTTTGAGAAGAGTTTTAAGGAGAGGGTTCCTCTGATTCTTGTGCTTGCCCTCAGGGCTCTTTCCTTTTTGTTCAGCCTTGTCCTGACTCCACGTGATAGTTTTTGCTTTATCTTGTATTTTTTTTTTTTGGTCACATTTGGTTGTTATGGCCTAGAAGCCTGTTCTTTTCTAATGAGAGACAGCAAGGGAGTGGATCCGGCAGGGAGGGGAGGAACTGGGAGTAGAGGGAGAGGAAACTGTATCAGAATATATTGTAAGAGAAAAAAATCTATTTCCAATGAAAGGGGGGAAAAAAAGAAGAGGATTTCTTACACATGATTATTTTTGTTTAGTGGGAGATCAGCATGTGAACAAATATTGTGCCAGGCACTACTTATGTAATAATAATAATAATAATAATATCTAAATAATATTATCTAAATGTGACTCTGGATGTCTAGGAAGGGCTGATGAAGCAACTGGGAAGCTTTCTGTGATGGACTCAGGAAGAGTCAGTGGAGCAGGAGACTTCCCGGTTGGGGGTAGCCCTGAGTGGGGCTCCTGAGAAGGAAGAGTGGGTGGATAAGTCTGTCTGGAAGGAACTGAGCAGCTGACATCTGGAAACAGGTGGGAGTGGGCAGGGCTGTGTAGACATGTCTAGGGACAAGAACCTGAGGCTCCCAGAAAGGGGAGAGGTTTAGATTTAAAAAAAATTAGATCATCTGAGGTCACTCTTCCTGAATCATCAGAAGGAGGGCAATTATCTGTTGAAAGGGTTTTCCAAGTTGTGTTCCCTGAAATGGTTGGCATGATAGGCATCTCAACCGGACTGGCTTGAGCGGAGAAAGCTTCTCACAAGAATGGGTGTTGTACCAGAGTCGGTGCACCTGGACTCGGAACCTGGGCGTGGGCGAACCTGAGATGGGCGTGAAAGGCCTTTCAGAAGCTGAACTGGATGGGGCTCCTTACTCAATTCACCTGGCGGTGGTCTGGTTTGCAGCCCACTCCTGCGGAGATAGTGCTTATAAAGAGCGTGAAATTGCTTATTTCTGTGAGATGTCTCAGACGTCTTGGCTCAAGACATAGCCGAGGGGCGTTTCCTGGAGACAGGAGACTGTGGGCTGAGAAGGGAACTGACTTTTACGGGGAGCTTGGGATATGGAAGAGGAGAGCAGTCTGTGATTGCACGTGCTGTCTCACTCGATATCCCAGGACTCGGCGGGGGGGGGCATTTCCTGCACGTCCTGCCTGTTTTCTCAGTAGTGAGACCGAGCAGGAGAGGCTGAGCGAAGGTCCCGCTGTGCTGCCCTCATCGGACATCAGCTTCCGCTCTGGTCCAATGGCTCCACAGCCCCGAGCTTGTGTTTTTATGGAGAATTTCATACACATATAATTTTTTTTCATTTGAGACCGGCTCTCACTATGTATCAATACATGGTTTTGATCTAATCCACTTCCCATTCCCTTCCCTTCAACACGCACCCCCCTTGCAACTTTCCCTCCCTACTTCATATCTTTTTCTCTTAAAGCAAAGACCCTGAGTCGATTTAGTGCTACAGGTAAGAGCACAGGTGTAGGACCATCTACCAGAACACAGGTTGCCTCTCCAGGGTCGTATCCCTGAAGAAAACTGAGTCTTCCTTGGCCAGCAGTCATCAGTTGCCAGTAACGTCTCCCGTGGGAGTGGAGCTTCGTGAGCCTTTGCCCTGTCCATCAAGACTGGGGCTTTAATCATTAGGCCTTACACAGTTCTCAAAGAGAATAAAATAGTAGACGAGCTCAGATCTAATCCATTCACTCACCCAGTCTCCCAGTGAGAAGGCATCCCTTTCTGAGCACCTGGTATTGGAGAGCCACAATGATTGGTTGTATGAACAGTCAGAGGGCATGGAGTCTGGTGCTCCGTCCCCAGGGATTAAAATCTGCCTCCTCTTCTTCCAGGCTATGTGTCTGACATTACCAGGTCTGCTCAGTATGGCATTTCCCTACCGCCCTGGGTGAAGGTGTGCCCTGGGCTGTTGCGGGGGTGCCATGCACGAGACACAGGAAACCCTTAGGGAAGGAAGCTCCTGGTTTCTTTGAGCACCCACTAAGGTTTGTCACATGGGCTTGTCCCTCTGTCTGGCAGAGGGAAAAGTCATGCCTGGCCTTTATTGAGCATCTATCAGATGGGAACAAGGGTGATCAAGAGCAGAAAGCTGAAGAATGTCGGACGCGGCCGCAGAAGGTATCACGAGCCTGAGAAATCCCCTCTGATCCAATTGCTGCTCTGTGTCCTGGCCGCTTCCCCGTGAGTGTTTATGAGAAACATTTTCTACAGTTCTGCTCCAGTCTTTGCCAAGTCCTAGCACGGTTTTGATTTCTGTGAAAAGGGTGGGCTTGAATCGCTGACCTAACGGAAGCCTAACTTCTCTCTTGCAGGACGGGTTGGTCCCTGAGGACAGCTGTCTCCACTGCCAGGGGTCCGGCATCGCCACCTGCTCTCTGTGCCACGGCAGCAAGTTCTCAATGCTGGCTAACAGATTCAAGGAGTCCTATCGAGCCCTCAGGTGCCCTGCCTGCAACGAGAATGGCCTGCAACCTTGCCGAATTTGCAGCCCGTAGCCGGTGGCCCCGGGTTCTCACATCTCCTTTTATTACACTCCCACGTGTGCTCCCCTAATAAACCATCTCCCTTTCTCCTGCTTCTCCCGGAAAAGGCGCTACAGCAGCTGCGCCCACTCCTAACACTAGCAAATCTCAAATTATTTGATGACATTTTGTAAAGCGGGTAACATCTCTACATGGGTCTAAGTAATGGGGGCATTTTTGAATCAGAATCGGCTTTGAAACTGGTCCTAAAATTATCCTTTCAGGAACACGTGCACGCATCTCACTTGATTTAGCTCAGTCTTTCCCCCCCTTCCCCCCGCATCAGTGAACAAATAAATAAATATACACTTCAGGCAGTAGGTTGAAGTCATTTTCCGGGCTGCGGGTTATTTTGCAAAATTATGTGGTGAGAAAGGAAGAAAGAAGCAGATTTCCAACGAACCAAATTCCTGTTGCTTGTCATGCATCTGAAATTGTCATTGGGCAAATTGAATTCTAATGAAGCAGAAGGGAGAAGATACAGCGAACACCAGTGGTCCTGGCAGGCCTTTGCAAGCAAACAGTATGCTCATTCCAGAGACAGGTGAGAGGAGGAGGCCCTCCTGTAGCTGCTCCGATGTGGCGGAGTGCTCCCACACCAGCTAGGCAGCCGGAGAGCACTTGCGCTCAGGTGAGGAGGGTCTACCATCTTTCTGTGTGCCTTTAACTGGTGAGGTTATAAAGCTACACCAAACCTATCTATGATCAATTTGGTGCTCAAGCACGTATTTGTGATAAGAATTCTGCCAGCTCCTCACTAAATTACCAAAAACACGGGTCTATTTTAGGACTCCGATCCAGTCAGCTTGTCTTTAGGAAGGACAGCAGGTGTTCCGTGCTGAACTAAGGAAACTCTAAGAGAAAAACCGAGAGGGCTGATAGACATTGTGTTTTACCGCCCACTAATGTGCATGCGAAGGGTGACTCTTCCCTCTTAAAGACAGTTATTAAGTTTTAAAACCACGTTTGTTGATGAACTTTTGTAGCTTGAACACCCACTCTCCACACTCGGCGAGGACGGCACCAGAATCCATTATCCAGTGCTGCTTGTCTCCCGTAATAGTTCTGGCTTTACAGCTTAGTAATTCTGCAAGGTTTGTTATTCTCTTAAACTCTGTTAAATCGACAGTGGGTTGTATGTGGGCAATATGAGTACTTCTAATAAAAAGATGCAAACACACTCTTTGAAGCCACGGTGCTCTTGTCTGCTTTCTCGTTGCTAACTTGACTCCTTTGGGACTCTGTATGATGGCTTCCTGCCTCCGTGTGTGCTTCCTACAGCTGTTCACCTTTCTCTGTCTTCTCAGCATACCAGAAGAAGGGGTGATGTCAAGAGACCTGAAGTACTTAACTCTTTGATGGGAGTGTTCTGCCACAGGCATGGTTTGAGTACCCTTCACACACACACACACACACACACACACACACACACACACACGGGCTTGAGACCTCGTGTAACCCAAAGGATGCCAGACCTTTGGCATCTTGTGGGTCTTATGGTTTAAGTGGAGTCAGCATGCAGCAGGTAGTTGAAGTATAGTGTGGCTTTCCTAAGGTGGACTAATATAGGATGGGATTAATATATTTGGAGAAAAAGAAGGATCCATTGTTAGCCTTAGTGGGTTGTTCTTTCTTATTGTGCTGGGATTGCATCCAGTATCTGATACATGCTAAGCACATATTTTACCTCTGAATTATCTTTATCTACTTCCTTGATAGGTTTAGGGAGGCTACCCAAAGGAGAAAGTACACACACACACACACACACACACACACACACACACAGAGAGAGAGAGAGAGAGAGAGAGAGTTATCATTCCATCACCTGTCCTGAATGCTCTTAAGAGTGTCGAGTTTTTTAAATAATCACACAATAAATACGTCTATTAATGACTCCACTAATTGTGTTAATTCAGTAGGTAGTTATTTATTGTTGTGATGGAAACAACATCTGACCTCTTAATAAGGTAATAAATACATAAAACCTTACTGCTGATGATCATTATAAACTTCTGGACTATGAACCAAGAACAAATTTACTTCTCTGAGAAGAAACCAAACCAAACCAAATGCCCACTGAGCATCAAGGATTTAGAAGTAGGCAAAAAGACAAAATCCTGATTCCTCTGGAGCTTATATTTTGGTAAGAGACTATAGATGCCTAAATACATATATTTATGCAATACTCATATATGCAAAAGCTATGTAAAGCATACTACAGAGAAATATGCATTTATACAATACAGCTATATGCAGAATGTATAGCATGTCAGAAAGGGATAAATCTACGCGAAAACAAAGCGCCACAAGGGACTGAGAGCTGGACGTGGCTGTGGACGAGTGACATGGAAAGGTGGCTTCTGTAAAGGGCTAGTAGAACTGTAGCTGCAGTGAGCCCGGCAGATGCCTGGGGTAAGAGTAGACCTCGTAGAGGAAACAACCACGCTAGACGTACAGGAAGGAGAGGGACATAGAAGACAGTGTGGGACAAATGGAGGCGGGGCAGAAGAGAAGGTGCTCCCCTGTGTGGTGTGTGAATGTGCACTAGTGTGTGAGGTATGTGTGCTTGCGTGTTGGGTGGCGGGAGCCTTTCTCAGAAGCCGTGGTAAGAGCTTGGATTACTGGGACACGCTGCTGAAGCTGGGCCTCTCTGTTCAGTCAATGTCACATTCACATGCTCTCTTCTCTACTCTCCGCTCCCACCCCCAGACGCTGGCGACAGGGTCCTGAAAACTACACTTCCCAGACTCCTTAGCCTGATAGCAGTTTCTGCCAACAAGAAGTACTGGCTGCTCCTGGGAGGAAAAAAGACGCCCGCGCCTCCCCGCCACCCGCCCTTCTTCAAGCCAGGCTCCTGGCAGCTTTTGCAACACGGCTTTTGTTCTAGCAATCAGGAGTCTTTGTAACCAAATCCCATAATGCGTTCCCTGTTTGAAATGTCTAGAATGGGTATTCATGTTTGAGCTGAGGAGGATCATGACGCCGTGTTTCAGTCTCTTGGCTGCTGTGCTGGGAAGAAACGCAGCAGGGTAGGGGGAGAAAAGGGAGGCTGGCTGGGAGGATTGCCAGGGTCCTGCTGGTGGCTCATGGTAGCTAGAGCGTGTGTGGTACCAAGTGGTCCCACTAGGGATGTGCCTGAAGGTAGAATCATGGGGTATGCTTACTGCCCTTTGTATTTAGAAATCTCATTGTGCCCTCTTTGTCTCCTTACACAGATAAGGGCACCAGGATACCCATTTCCTGCTTTGCGAACTTCGTACCCGGCGCATCAGTCAGGTCTGAGCACACTTTAGGGCAAGATAGACTAATATCAGGACTCGGAATTCCTGGAGCTGGAAACAAGTGTGAAGATTCCAAAACAGCAGCTCGACAATGCTGTGATCAATGATGCCGTGTCCTCTGAAAGTGCAGGACTTTTTTTTTTTTTTTAAATGAATAAGTGACTTTAAACATATAAGATTTTACAAAGTTTGATGGATGGCTCATGTCTCTAAGTCCAGTGGTGGGGAGGCAGAGGCAGGAGAAGGCTGAGTTTGAGATCAGCCTGAGTTATACAGTGAGTTATACAGTTTCAAACAAACAAACAAAACAACCAACCAAACAACCAAACAAGTCAACCTAAAGCAAACTAAAGTATCCAGAAAGTAGCACTGAGCTGTTTTTACATCGGGTTTCCATTGTGTTTTGGGCATGTGCAGTGCCCCTTAGGAAATAAATATGAAAAAAAATAATGTTTATCACTAATAACATTACAGCATTGGGGTCTAAGTCAAGGTAATAAGTGGATTTAACCTTACAGTCTGGGGACAGCACCATTGCTATCTATTGCTATTCTCTTCGGTAGGATTCATCTTCTCTGACTGGCTGGGTTAGCTCCTGTTCTCTCTTTGCAGCTCCTTCAACCATCTTCATAACAAAGGATATTTACTTCCCTTTGCAACTCCCACCCCTGTGGTGTTTGAGTGAAAAAGTTCCCTATAGGCTCTGGCATTTGAATGCCTGATCCTGCTGTGTGAGGAGACTTTAGAAGGTTTAACCTTACTGGAGGATGTAGGTCACTGGGGGTGGACTTTGAGGCTTCTCTGCCTTCCCATCCTAGTTCAAGCCTATCCTCACGCTGGGTGTGAGTGGAATGGCTCAGCCCTCTGACCTGTTCATCAAGCACGTCTAGACTTCACACACAGGATCTTCAGTGTCCAGGGGCCTCCTTTCTCAGTTCTGCCCTGTTTGGAAGACACTGGTGGACTGGAATGGCAGTATAGCCCCTCCTTGTCTCTCTAGCAAAGTCAAGGACAGTACCCACAGGTCCTAGTCTTAAACCTTTGTTTCTAGAGATCTTTCTTTCCTCCCTCCCTTTCTTCTTCCTTTCATCCTTATTTCCTCCCTTCCTTCTTCCTTCCTTCCTTCCTTCCTTCCCTCCCTCCCTTCTTCCTTTCTTCTTTCTTTCTTTCTTTCTTTCTTTCTTCCTTCCTTCCTTCCTTCCTTCCTTCTTTGATTTTTTTTCCAGCAAAGCCTCATTTACGTCAGGTTGTCTTCCACCTCACTATGTAACCAAGGATGACCTTGAACTTCTAATCATTCTGTCTCTATCTGTGAATATAGGTGTGCTACCACATTCAATTTTATGCACTGCTGGTACTCTATTCCAGGTTCTTGCACATTTTGGGCAAATACTCTATCAGATGAGCTACAAACCCAGCCTCTGTACTTTAAGAAAAAAAAATTCAATTTTGCTTTTAGAAAAGATCTCCATTGAATTATAAATTTAAAAAACTTTTTTTTTTTTGGAAACTCCACTCAGCATTATCTTTGTGAGCCCAAATTTACCTTCCTGACATAAACTGGCTCCAAACATCAGTTAAGTTTGAGTCCTACAGAAGATAATGTTTTTTTATTCTAAGTCTTCCACAAATCATTTCGGCAATGTGTTCATTCAGATGGGCACTGGCCACTGTTTTTTTAAAAAAATTACTGCGATTCACTGGAGATTAATTGGAGTGAAGTTTATGCAAAAAGTAAATCTGAAAGAAATGTTCACAGTTGTTTGTATCACCTGTCCTCATTAGCTAAATTTTCTCATTTTCTAATTAAACGTAGTAATTATTGAGAGTTCATAGTTATGCAATTATTTCAGAGAGAAATGGAGCTAAGTCAGTGTCAAAATTGTGGTATATAATCCCTGCCTGTATCAGAGGATGTGCAAAGCCCTGAGGAAAGGTCTGGAGACACGGCAGCAGAGCGTCCTTACT